ACATAAGTACTTCTAAAAGCATACAGGATTGGATTAATATATTTCTGCAAAAATCACCAAGTGTTTTTTGAATGTTTACTTTGGCCTAATTTTCATGTGGTATTTTTCAGAGAACTTCTAAGAATACCAAATGAACTGCATTTTTTTTTTCCACTGAGTTTGCTTTATATAGAATATTCTTCATGTTATATTTTAACTTACTTTCATGGATGACAGCCACAAAGTAATGCTCAAGGAAATTGGTCCACTTGTCCCATCAACTACTAGGTGTGAAACATCCTCCCAGGTTGCAGTTAGGAATTCCTCTCCTACCAGGAGCATTGGAGCAGAGGGAATGCAGCTGGGCCACTCTGCTTAATTAGTCAATTGTCTGAATTTAGGGTGCATTGACACTCCTAGGATGAGTAGCATAAAAGTGAGTTGGCAGAGCTCAAGAGGAAAGACTGAGGATTTCTTGGAAGAGTGTGTAAGAGAATAAATTTCAGCCTGAGCTGAAAATGTAGTAAGTTGAAGTCTATGTCTAATCAAATAGATGCATTTTTCCCTCATGTTTGTGTATTTTCCTATAAACTGGGAAGTTAAATTTGGGCACGTTGGGGCAGTATGTTAAGAGAAGAGTTGGGGGAAGGTAAGGATGAGTGTTTACTCATCCTTTGGTGCACCCTTTGGTGCAGCATGTTGGCATAGATTGCAATCTGTTTAAGTTCAGATGAATAAATTCCTATCATGCTGACTGATACTGTCACCCTACAGTATCCCTTATCTGTCTCCATTGTTTATCTTTTGTCTTGTATTTCAAGCAAGGGTTTGATTTTATCATGTGTGAAATCTTTTAAATATATCTACTACAATTGTACTACATGAGATTCTAGGTCTTCCTTCTATTTACATGCCAATCTACATAAATATTAGCATCTGTTATTCAGTGTAAATCCCTTAGTACATTGTTTCTGTGTTAGAAAGGAAAATTTGCTTAAAAATGGTAAACCAAATGCTTTTCTCTGTAATATACTTTTCAATTATAGTATGTTTCTTATGTTCCTTTCATATATATATATATATGTATATATATAAAATTTGGCTTGCCTACAGCATTTGCACAGCTTCAAAGAACAGGCTTTACTCTTCACTAGCTTTCTAGTTTCTGGTCTGCTGTATAACTGACACCGTGGTTACTGCATTAGCAGTAAGTGGCCCAGAAGCTACACCCTTTAAGAAAAATAATTAACTGCAATTTCTTTTTCGATAAAAATTAACATTTATCATAAAATTCCAATGGCCTCTCTTTATTCCACAAAATCCGTGTCACATGTGATTAATAAAGGAGTGTATTTGTTAGCATGATCTGCTTACTAGAATTCCCAGGAGTGTACCCCTCTCTTTAACATATATTTAGTAAGATCAGCAAGGGATGACAGAACAGAAAGTTCTCATGTAAGCCTAAACTCTGTTTAGTTCCATTTGAGATGGGCTCCCTCAAGAGTAGATTAACGCAAGAGGCAATGTCAGTACTAACAATCAGGTTCAAGATGTCTGTTATAATAATATTATACTTGGAAATATGACTTTTTAATAATTTCAAATATGTGTTTGTGCATAGTTCACATATTTCTTAATATGTGAAAGAAACTGAGATAATTTAATAAACAAGGTCATAAATTATTCAATACATAGATGTTGTACACTGAAGATGAGTTTATGTATAGTGATTTTGTGTGTACAGCTTGTTTTGGTACCGTGCTCACAGAAATCCTTGAATAAATGAATCCATGTAATTCATAATCAACAAAATTGTACTGCTTATTCTGTGCTCCAAGATTAAATATGACTTGTTCTCATTCAGCATGAAGTTCACATAGGTTTAGAAAAAAATCCATATGAAAATAAGACTATACAGTTGGGCTGCATATATTCCTGAACTGATTCCTGATTACTGAAATCCACCAAGTTTCTTTCATTATTTCAATAGGTAAAACATTAAGGTTTCAGTGTCTGGATTAAACTCTCATGTGTTTCCACAGAGAAGCCTTTCTGTTATTGGAGACATCACTGAATGTCAGCATCCCACCTGGTGGGATCCAAGATTAAACAGTGGGTTGAACGCTTGTACATTGTATTCAGCTCTGATCCTCCCAGGCTATATTTAAGCTCAGTTTAACTTGATCAGAGCAGGCTTAACACTCTTTGATGCTTGTCCTGCTAGCTCAACATTTTCAGTGTCTCATCTTGTTAGTGCATCTGATTTCATATGAAAAATCTTGAGGCTTACTGCAGTGCAGCCATTTTTCCTATTTGCAGTTAATTCTACACCGAGTGTAGACTCCTACATTCAGGATAATGCTGAGATTCCTGTGCTAGCTCAGGAAGCAGGTGTAAACCCCCAGGTCAGTGAAAGGTACAGCCTCCACGTCCTGCTTTGTGCAGGGCCCTTCCTTTCAGTGCGGCGCTCGGTGCACTGACACGACCTAAACTGCTTCTTGTGTCGGAGCCAGCTGGAGATCTCTGCGCTCTAATCTCCTGCAAATACAGCTCCTGGCTGGAACGATGATCAAACTGTGATGGTAGATTAACAGGATTAAGTGGGATTTTATTTGGCATATTAGACTTATTTTCATAACAGATTTAGGGGAAGTTGGAACATTCAAAATGGATCTCGTAAAAGCCCAGCTAACTTTGTTTTTAAGCTCAGTTATCCAAACCTGACATCCCTAAGCTCAGGAGGCAGATTCCTCTAGATGCTGACTACTTTTGCACTAGTCCACGTGCTCAGTTTGGACTAAGCTATGAGATGGTGACCATCTCATAGCCATTGGATAGATGAAGAAATGGTGGCAATTGGGAATCTCCTCTGAGCACGCTGAGAGGCTCTTCCAAGCACATATGCCCCCTGCATGTCTAAGGCAACAAAGAGAGTGAGACTTGCCAAGAGGTGGCAGTTGTGTCCATGCAGCTGGAGAAGCAGCTCTCTATGACGTGTAAATAGGCCAAGTGCCCTCTTCACTCTAATGGCCTTCAAGGGTGCTGCCACCTCTTGGTGTTTCGTAAGCAGATTGAAGTGGTGAGATGGCTCCTGTATAAAAGCATGTTCTAAAGAGGACAGGGCCAGATTCTTTTCATTGGTGCCCAGTGACAGGACAAGAGGTCATGGGCACAAGCTGAAATACGGGAAGTTCTGTCTGAGCATGAGGAAAAGCTTTTGTACTGAAGGTGGCTGAGAACTGGAAGGGACTGCCTAGAGAAAATGTGGAGTCTACATCCTTGGAGATATTCACAAACTGCCTGGACAGGGTCCTAGGTAACCTGAGGCAGCTGATCGTGCTTGAGCGGAGGAGTTTGGCTTAATGAACTCTAAATTTCCTTCCAACCTCAACCAGTCTGCAATATTCATCTATTTCCACAAAGAAAGGTTACTTGGCCCTGCTCTTGTAGGAAGATCTGAGCTGCAGATTGCTAAAGCAGTAAGAATGAGGTGATTTTAAAAAACAAACCATGCCACTGTCTGAGGCACATGTTATGTTGCATACACATCTCCTTGAAATACCTTCATAATTCTGAAACACTAAATCCTCGGCAAAATCTTCATGGCTGAGCCAATCTGGAAAACTTGCACAACTGTTCAATATTTGCTGAAAAACTTCATATGAGTTTTAGAATAACTGTTCAGTGTAGAGGTCCTAGTGGGATGAGAGGTAACTGTGACAAGTGATTAACTTGCACTTGTCCTCTGATTTTATTTCTTATCAGAGTGAGTGATCAGAGTGATCAGAGAGAGGGAGAAGTGAAAAAGTGAATACCCTTTTTCTCCATTCAAAATGGCTTGCACTCTCTATGAAGAAATTGTATTTGTCTATTGGATTGTTGGTACTGGGCTTCTAGTCACTATTGTATAAATATTTAATATCAGTCATAATGGTTCTTTGGGAAAAGGGTGTATCACGCATAAGAGTTACTGGCACTGTTATTGCTATTATAATCTTTGGGTTTAAGCCAGAAGTTCTTGCAGATGTTGGAGGAAGCATACTTGGACTTTTAAGTGAAGCACTGATGTATGCACCCCAGTGTATTCTTTTTCAGTGGCTACTTAAGCAGTCCGTGGTCATTTTGGCTGTATTGCACTGAGTCTATGGAGGTTGCTAATCTCTGCAACAGTTGTGAGTCCAAAGTTGAGCTGCAGTTAAGTTCAAACAGGGAGATACAATGATCTGAAGAGCTGAAAAACAAAAAACATTTGGATTTTGTAATTATCTCTAAATTTCATTGACAGCATGTATGTGATTGAAGCTGTAAAAACAAATAAACACTTCTAAGAAATCATATAAATACTGAGCTTGGTACTTTCCCAGAACTCTCTAAGATAAAATACAGAAATATAGATTTGGATTTTTCAATAAGCACAAATTCTATATTAATAGGAACCTGTTGTTTTTTTCATTTGCCCTAAATACTCTTGCCTGTAAGACAGGTGCTATTATCTTTTGTTGCAGGAGAAAAAAAAAAAAAGAAAAAGTTAATGAAACACAGCAAACACTGAATAAACACATGCTTTGTTGAAAGAATTACTACAGAATACACTAAATTTGCTCAATATTAAGGCAACAGGCTGATTTAGATGTACTTTTCCCTCTTCATTCCCCATCTACCTCTGTTTCTTCAGCACCACTCAGCTTGTTCAGAACACCAGGGGTTCCTGAGAATCCGAGAGAATCTGTCAAAGGGAGGGAGTGGACGTGCTGGGCAGAGAAAGGCTTCTCTTGCTGAAGTACAAAGTATATCTCCTGGCGTGTGTGATTTCTGCACCCCAGAGGGACGGAGGGAGCCCTTACTCAGCAATTCCCAGCGGATTGGGCGGGCAGGCTCTCCTCCTCCCCACCTCCATCCGCGAGGCGCTCGCTCAAATTGCGCTCACAGACACAGGGACTGGAAGGGTTTAGAGCACTGTCCTGGGTCCTCGCTACCCGCCGGCAGCAGAGACAGAGGCTCCTCACCTCCCCATCGCTTCCCGTGTGCCAGCGCAGCCAAGGATGCGCAGCAGCCGCTGAGTCGCAAAAAAAGGTTTGTTTTTTAAAAGGAAACCTTGTGGTTCTGGGAGAAGCCTCTGTGTGCAATCCCATAGCTTTTTCTTTCGGTAGGCATGTTCTGGAGCCTGTGTGCTACCCAGGGGCTGCATGTTCTTTAATGCTTTCTTTATCACAGTAACTATAGATTAATCCTATGCTAACTTGACAAGTGGTTCTATTGCAAACTGCTTCTGCCTTCAAGTGCGGCATGGAGCTTATTATGAGAAAAAAAACCTCACAGAGAGTTTCAACTCCTTAGTAGAAATTTTGACTGCGGTAATCAGTTTCTTCTGTAAGTAATCATAAGGAAATAATAGAGTACAAAGAGATGAAGAAAAAAAAAGGGGGGGATAGATATGGTAGTTTCTCAGAGTATGAAGTGATGTGTGTTGAAACTTCAAAGAGATAGATGGGAACTCTTGTATCCTTACATGTTAGCATTTAAGCACAAAAATTTGTGTAGGTTAAAGGAAATCTCTCCACCTGGTCATATGGGTTTAGATTAAAAACAAAGCAAAATATTATAAAGGATGTTTTATTAAGTTAATGAGGCTGTAATTAATTATATTAAGGGGTTAATTATAATTAATAATTATATTAATTAACAGGCTTATAACAAGACAGGACAGCAGGATAGGAAAATCTTTGCATCATACAGCATATATACATATATGCATCTACATATCACCATACATAAAATATGAGATTTCTTATTCAGTCAAGGGGTCTGGTTCTGTATTAGATGATAGGGAAAAAGATTTTTTTTTTTTTAGATTCAAGCTCTTCTCCAGAAAATCACAGAAAATCTTTCAAACTGCAGGCTTAAGTTGAGGTCCTGATATTATTTTATGTATCTTATTTTATAAGCTATCCTTTACATTCTAAAACAGAAGAAAATTTAAAAAAATGCAGAAAGTGTTTCCTTATGCAACAGTGTGAAAAGAAAAAAATTACAAATTCGTTGATCTGTGTCAAGCAGATCAGAAAAACAAAACACTCTCTCTTAATAATCCATGATGTTAATTGATTTGGAGTAGATTTCCACTTAGTTTTCTTAAAGGAGCAATATCACAAGGCCTATAGAAAATCTTCCTTCTTCAAGGGCTTCTTAGGGATCTCTCTTCTAAGACAGGAGAGTCAATTGCCAAAATCCAGGATAGCAGCAGTAGGGTTGTTTTTCAGCTCACTTTTTGAACTTTGCTTCTATGTGTTTATTCAGAGGTAGTCTTGTCTCTCTACAGTGTTTTGGAGTGCTGCATAAGGGCTCATTCTCTAGATTTCTTTATTGGGGAATGGCTAAAATATCCACACATGCTCAGTCATAAAGTGCAAATTCTGGGGTTGCAAAGCTAGAAGTGAGGGTGTCAGAGACCCCCACTTCAGCCCTAAGTCCTCTTGTAAGTGCCCTCTAAGTACTACTTACATGGTAGACAACCACGATGGAAGTATTTTACTGTAATATAAGAGGATGACTGAAATGCCTGTAAAATCCAAATGTTTCCATTAATCTCCAATATCTAAATGGTCAGCTTGCCTTGCTTAGTACCACCAGCACAGAGCTAGAGAGACAGATGTTCCCTGTTTCTGCATGTAGCCCCGTTCTCCTCAGGTCATCAGAGCTGAAAACTTCCCGGTCTTGTAGACCAGACACTATGGGCCCTAGCCCTGTGAGCTCCTGCTTGCTCCTGCCAACCTCACATTTGCCATTTACCTCTTTCTTTCCTTTGCACCCTGTAGTACAGTTTTGGTCCTCAGCCTATGGACGGACAGGATTTCCTCCACCTTGTCTGTTCTAGTGGCAAAGGGGCAAGGTGAGAAGAAGAAGGGGGATATAAAGAAGAAATAAAAAGAAAAATCTCAAATTGATCTGAATGAAGCATGAGGTGGTCTCCCATATTCAAAGCCAGATCCTAACCTCTCTGTTATTTCTCTATACTTCAGGGATATAGTGACCTGTTTTAATATCTTGATGTAGTAATAAAAAAATCACACTCTAGTTTTTGAAAATGTAGCTCATATCACTGAACATTAATATTCTTTCCTTTGGAATGAAAACACTGGCATATGAGAACTATATTCCCTATGACACTCTGGTGTTAGGCTGTAATCCAAACCTCTTGCAAGTCAACAACAGAGAGAGACTGTTTGCAAGTCAAAGACCTGATGAAACTGGCACATGAATGAGAAAGAGGCAAGTGGACAAAGCATTGAAGCAAAGGGGTTTATTTTGTCTCTCTCCACCTTCACTAAAGTAAAAGAAATCTATCAAGGGCCACAACCCTTTTTCACAGCTCTGTGTTAGCAGCCAGAAGTTGTTCCTCATTCCTAACCCTACAGTTACACTTGACATGCCAATGTGGCTTTTAACTCATGGGACGCTTTTACTGAGAAGAAATGTTATGAACAAATATCAAAGGCAATGAATAGAAGTACTAGAGATCTGTTTAGCTAGGGAGTTGTCAAAATAGCTTACTTCAGTTACAGAAAGATATTCAATTGCATAACAGAGTTTGGAGGGTTTATCAATATCCAATGTAGAGGGTTTTCTGTAGTGGTAATGTATAAACAGAAGAATAAATAGAGAATATTGGGAGATACCTTGATTTCCAGTTAAGAAAGACTTCAGGTTCTATAGAAGGACACTATTCCAATATAAATATTTGGAAGCATTTTAAAAAGCAAACCTTTTTAAAAAGGATTAACATGATTTACTGAAGCATTTGAGCAAGTGAAGCTGATAGTATGAGATGTTCTGTGTATTTCCTGAACATTTTGAAGGAGATTTTGAACAACCTAATACTTTGGCTGTTTTGGAAACTGAATGTCTCCGTCTTATGCAAAAGCACCTAGAAATAAGTGGTTTTGCTCATCCTTGAAAAGGAGGGACTGCAGTTAAAAAAAAATTGTCTTCTGAGCTGTCAGCTTTTCAAGCAGGTGTACACATGAAAGAACATGTGCCATAGAGAGGAGGAAGAAAGTTCCAGCTTGATTCCTCCCTCTTTTAGATTTGGGGAAAAGAAGTTAAGCAATAGATGACTGAAAGTTTTGAGGACTTGTTCTCTGTCTCTGCAGTTGTTTGAAACTGTTGATTTATTCCTTTCACTGCTTGTAATGGCACACTCCTTATTCACCTGTTTAATCTCAAAATGTTTCCTTTGCAAGATGGCTGGAAAAGCAAATTTTATTGAGAGTTGAGATAACTTCAGATTAGACATGAGGGTGAATTACGGCAGTTAGGTTGTTCAATGTCCAATTGCAGTTTGATTCCTCTCCAGATTGCCTTTCACATAAAACAAGTTGTGACAGAGAAGTATAGATTTTAGGAATAACAATTGTGTATAATTTGCTCTCTCAAAAACCTGAGGTCGGTCAGAGAATCTTGTGCAACACAGACAATTCTTGATCTGGCCAGATAGGGCTGTGGCTTCTGTGGAACTGTGTACGGGCATGATTCAGAACAAGGATGTGTATGGATGTGTACAGACATCGAATCTCATATTTGGGTTATCTTCCGCTTGGCATTTCCTATCCCACAAAGGATATTAGGCTCTACTCAATATAGGTCAGAAAAGAGGTCACTTAATGAGGTCTCACTGGCACAGGGTCTGGTGTGGTGAACAGCATCGTTAAGTGTTGCTGTGGATTTCAGGGTGGAATGTGAGCATAACTAAATAACCCTAGAAAGAGATAAAGAACAGCACATATTATATTCACTTTACATAGAAATAGGTCTAAATTATTTGTACATAGGGAAAAAAACCACAAGATTTGAAGAGTTAAAGCTAGAGTTTTAAGTGCAATTCAGTCTGGGATAATTGCAGACAGCAGGATGCTGTAGTGATGGCTTGCACCTAGAAGGAAACAAATAGGAATCAGAATGAAGAAATGACAAACCAGGTCAAAAGGGTGTGGAGACTTTAGGGTGTAGTTAAGTTGAGAACCTAAACTGAGCCTCAGATAGCATCATATCCCAGTCCTGTAGAGGTAAGGTAAGACAAGGACAGCCATTTAAGGAACCTCAGGAACAGATTCTGTGCCTTCAGATATGAGGCTGGAGGAAGAGAATGGGAACACTATGGTAAACCACAGGGGGAAAAAAGAAAAACATCTGCAGGAGACTATATGGAGGAAAGAAACAAAACCATCCAAATTTCTGGGAGAAGTGTGAAGACTTTCAGATTTGCAAGATTATGCTACCTTACTACTCTGAGAAGTTCTAGGGACACACTGGGCTGAAGAAATCTTCCTATAGTGTATCAAACAAGAGTGCTGAACTATTTTTTAAAGTTATGTGTATGCACAATACTCAGTAAAAAAAGTGCATGTGAATATATTCTTGCCCTATGCATAAGCAACTAAATGGCAAGAACCATGGTGAAAAACATGGTATGGCATCATTTCATGTCCTTTCAGATAATAAATATTCATAAATTAGTAACAGAGCCTTCATTAAAAGTTTGACCATCCTCTTCTGGCATGTTTAATGGCTATTCCTTATGAACTGGCTAGAAGCTGCATGCCTATCTTGCAACAGTAATTACACAGTCTAGTTTTTAACCACTTCTGCTTCCCCGGCTTATGCTTTTTCAGCCTAATGAAACAATTTGGCTAGTTGCCAGCTGCTACAAACTGTCTGAGAATTGGTCTGTCTTCTGTGGGATGTGTTTAGGACTATGCTGACAATAGGCACCTCTGTAGCTCTCCTGCACCAGTCTCTGACAGCACTGCAGCACTTTGGGAAAGGTGGAAAATCTTTAACAAAGCAGACCTTTCTTTCATGAAGCATTTGCTCTTTAAAATAAACACAACAAACCCTTCTTGGTAGGGGAGAAACCTAAGGCTAGACTGCTAGACTGCTGCTGCAGCATAGGCTGAGGGAAGATTCCTTGAGCGCACTAGCAAGTTATGGTGCAACCACAGTGTGGTGTTTTTCTTTGTCCTGGGGCAGACCGAGACTGTTTTGTGGCTTGCAAAGTGGGGAAGTCTTGGAGCCCG